CTAGCTCAGTCTCAAGTCGTTCCTTTTCCTCTTCAAAAGCTTTCTGATCAGCCTCAGCGGTAGTAGTGGCGGCAGCAGCAGCTTGCTCTGCAGAAGTTTTGAGCAACGATAAAATCCCGCTCCTTGGCCAGCCGGGCCTCCCTCAGCTGCAAGCAATACAGCCCCATCTACAGAATTCCATTGGAAGATAGAAGATGAGATATGGAATGAATGATAACCTATGAAACAAAGTGCATGGGGAAACAAAGTGCCTTTAAAGCCGTTAAGGCCACACATTCTTCTGCCCGATTGACTGGCAGAGCGGGGAGCGGAAAATTATTGAAGTACGCAGAGGTTGACCAAACTTGGCTCGCGACAGAACCAGCCTTCTCCATAATTTCATGAACCAGGTCCTCCGGAGTGATCCGTGCGACCTGCCCAGCAATATCAGCTGGATTGACCTGATCGGTTTGCATGGTCGTTTCCTAAGCGACCTCGACATGCTCGGAAAAATGATACGATTGTGCAGACCCGAACGGGTTGTCCATCATCATGTCTTCAGGCTCCTGATGGTGGAAAACCTGCTGAAGAGGCACAGGTGCCTGAACGGGCTGGGCGTGACCTTAACATCTATACAACGTCAAATAAAGCCGGCCATCACCCGATAGGAGTTCAGCATGACCAAGGCTGGTATGATTTCATAGAAATTGAAAAAAGAAACAAAAAAGGGGTGCAATGGAAACCTAAGCCCAGCTTTAACTGAGTCTAAATGAACTACGACCATTGCAGGGGACTGGCGCATTGGATGAAGCCTAGCTCGCAAACGGAAGTCCACTGGGTCTGGAATTAGGGCCAGAATTTGGGCCATGTTGTGAGAGGTCAGTTTTTGCCGCCTTTCCCTAATCAATCTTAGGTCAAGTTTGTGACGAGGAACATCGTCCGGGGGTCCAGTCGCCATGGAAGCAAGTTCATCACCAGACTTAGTATCATCAGAATCGTCTTCAGAAGAAGAAGAGCCGACGGAAGAATCCTCCACCTCCGCCCTATTATCCACCGCCGCCTCATTTATGCCTTCAGCAAAAGGGACGGGTATGACGTCCACAACGGCGGCATCATGATTTTTCCCTTGGGAAGCCATTTCCGAATCGGAGGAGCATGATCGAGGACACATATCGATCGAAGCAAAGAGTAGAGGAAAGTTAAGGGACGGGGAATACCTGAACACGAAAAAGCTTGAAGGACCTAGAGAGAAGGCAGAACAAAAGCACGAAGGAAATGAAAAATCGAAACCCGTATCCAAGAAATTCAAGGCCTATTTTTAGCCTGACAGGCGCCGAATCAATAACCAACCAGAAGAAGGCACGTCACCTGGACTATTTGAAAGGATACGTGTCGCGTGGGAAAGAAAAGGCCAGTAATCATGACAAATATGGGAAAAATCAAACGACAGTCGCTATAAGCTACCAACTTATGACATAAGGGACCAGCGAGATTCGGGTCTTGATCGGCGTTCGGTATAAAAGTCCTACTTCCTTATGCACTCATTACCATTTGAGACATCGGAAGTGGGGGACTCGTGTTGGGATATTGGACCGAAGGCCCAATACCCGGGCCAAAGGCCCAAAATATTCAGTCCAATAAATAACCCGGAATCCAAAAGAAGAACAAGCCCAGTAAGATATATGCCCCGAACGGGAATCAGGTCCACCAGTGTACTTGGGCTAATCAAGGATGTTTCCAGCTTGGTCCATCACCCCAAACGGGCAACGGATGGCTGGCAAGTAGCAAGGAGCATTTATTGCTACGAAGAGACCTCAGCAAGTGGGAGTATGGGCATTCAAGTGGTTGGATTAGCAACCAATCAGCATGGAGCACCTCATACCCCCATTAGTATAAATAGAGGGATTAATATCATTGTAAAGGGTTAGCATTTTGATACTCAAGGCCTAGAATAGCTTTATTACTCTTGTTCTTGTATTAATCACTATTCCGACGTACCATTCGAGAAGTTTCCTATGTAATCAGCGAATTGCATAATACAAGTGGGCTCTTGAGCATATTATTATTCAGCTTTTATATTTCCTTATACCTTCGAGTTATTGTCTACGCCCTTAAATATCCAAAGCGTGTGTTGGGCTTTCGAATCTACGGGACTTAACCTCAACAACACTTTTTTTTTATTTATGCACAATAAATAATTATAGTGGGCCAAATGTGGATTTCTATTCCTTTTTCAAATTAAATAAATTAATAAATGTGGGATATATAAAAAATAAGGAGAGAGGGTGTAAAAATTTTAAGTGACCTAGGTCACCATAGTGAAGAGAAAAAGTGATAGATTTGAGGAGGGGTCAAAACCCAACACCATTTTGGATGCTCTTAGGGTGAGCGAGGTTCCCATATTAAACGACAATTTATATGGTACACCCGGGTGTACATGTACACCCGGTTTTTTGTAATTAGTAGATTGAACTTCTTCCTTCCATGTTCCACTCACGCTCATCCTTGTCTTTTCCGTATTTCGCCGATGGCCACTGCTTTGTTTCTTTTTTTTTATTCCCCTTTTTTCGGCAGCTCATCCTTACTTCTCTTTTTTTCATCCGCTGCTTTGTTTCTTTTCTTTTTTTATTCCCCTTTTTTAACAGCTAATCCTTTCTTCTCTTTTTGTATTCATCCGCTGCTTCGTTTCTTTTCTTTTCTTTTCTTTATTGACTTTATTCCTTTTTTTATTTGCTTTTTCTTCTTTTCTTTAGCAACCTTCTACTAATTTAATGTTATATATATTCTATTATTATGAAAATGTATACTATAAATATTATTGAATGTTCCAGTTTATTTTTTAGATTCACGTAGGAGTCGATTATAGATAGAGAAACACAGACCATGATACTCAATTGCATGTTTTAAATACTCAATAGAGCAAGTTTGAAACTCAATAAATTTGTCTTGAAGTTCAACTAAAAAACTTATGATTTTCATATCAATGCTCATTTTGTAAGTTACATTTGTTCAATTTATACTCATATTGTGCTCATTTTTAAAATGTCATATTCATGCAAATTTTAAAAGTTGCATATGACATTAGATTCACATTACTCAACCGAATAAGTCTGTTGCTCATTAAAGTTGTTTTAATGCTCATAATATGTCTGATGCACATTAAAATTTTATTAATTCTCATTTAACAGAAACAGTGATTTTAATCTCAATAGAGGAGGTTTGATGTTCAACGAAAATGTCGTTACGTCAATGAACATTTTGTAAGTCACGTATGATCATCTGGTAGTGATCTTATGCTCATTTTGTAAATGTCATATCAATGCTTTTTAAAAGTATTATTCTAAATTAGATTCACATATTGAAATTCATAGGAGTTGATTATAAATATAATGTAATAATTTTTTATTAAAGAAAAAATAACAAAAAGAAAGTGAATTAGAAGTTACGAAGTAGATATCATGATTCTGAATACTAGACTCCTAATACTCAATATAATAGGTTTGATGCTCATTAAAAGTTGATTAATGCTCATTCACCAAAAACCGTGATTTTCATGTCAATAGTGGATGTTTGATACTCATTGTTAGTCACCTAATACTCAATAAAATAGGTCAAATGCTCTATTGAACATCTGACCTATTTTTAAGACATTTAATTGAGCATCAAGACATTTTCATTGAGTATCAACTTTCCTATATTGAACATTGGAACTCTTCAAGTGAGTATCATGGTATGTGTGCTCTAGTATCTATAATCAATTTTTACATCAATCTAATGTAATATGATACTTTTGAAATAGGGAAAAGTACGGAAAAGGTACTTGTGGTTGAACCCATTTTCAGATAGGGTCATGTGTTTTATTCTTTATCAAAGTGTTTCATGAATTTGAATTCCTTTATTACAAGAGGGTCACGCCGTTAAAAACGTCTGAAAAAGACCGTTATAACTTAAAAGTAACTCCGATTTTCAAAAGTGCCCGAAAAATTAAAAGAAAAATACCAAAAGGTGCGCCTCGTCAAGATGACCTCCAAACCACCTTCACCTTTGGATTTTTCAGATCTGTTTGAATTATTTTATAAAAATGATTTCGCTAATATCACTTTTCTGATGGACTTTCCGGTGACAAGGGTGGTTGAAAATAAAAAAGAAAGATGGCCTAGCGGTCGTCTTATTGAGGCGCACCTTCCGGTATTTTTCTTTTAATTTTTCGGGCACTTTTGAAAATCGGAGTTACTTTTAACGGTCTTTTTCAGACGTTTTTAACGGCGTGACCCTCTTGTGATAACAGAATTCAAACACATGAACCACTTTGATAAAGAATGAAACACATGACCCTATCTGAAAACGAGCTCAACCACAAATATCTTTTCCGTACTTTTCCCTTTGAAATATGCATTGATATACCATTTTAAAATGAACATAACACAAGTACCAAATGAGTATACATAACTTACCAAATGAGCAATGATATTAAAATAATAAGCTTTGTTAGTTAAGCATCAATACATTTTCATTGAAAATCAAACCTCTTCTATTGAGTATCATGGTCTTTGCTCCCATGTATATAGTCTCTTATACGAATCTAATGTTATACTTTTGAAATGTGGATTAATATGACATTTTCAAATGAGCATAAAACTAGTACCACATGAACATACATAACTTAGAAAATGAGTATTAAAAAATTCAAAAACTCGTTTGAATTCTCTAATGTGTATAAATATTCATTTGTGCACCTATATTATATATAATGACAAATATAGTAATGAAAAATCGTAATTTTATATTAAAAAATAACTTATAGTCTTTCATTCTGGAATTACAAATATAATCGGGTTCTTTTTATAATGTTTATACATGCATATTTTTTTACACCTTACTCATTTCAGTATAACATAAAACTCATGTTAGTAATTAGCACATAATATTTAATAAACTAATAAATATTTACGTTAAATTAAAATTAGAAAAATAAAACATTAACACATTAAATATTCATCATAAATTGAAATCAATAGATAAGGTGATTAAGAAAAAAAGGAAAGAGAATTAAAAAAGAGGAACTACCTACAAACAAAGCAAAAGAAGGTTAAGGAAAAAACTAGGGACGAAACGCTATAATCCAGATGCATATGCGCACCGTAGTTGACATAAGATGGAAAGGATGCGGATTGAAGAAGCAAGGATCAGATTATAGCCCATCAAATTAGAAATACTAGTAATTGCAAAAATATCGTGTGTATATATACACCCGGGTGTACGGTATAGGTGCTTCATACTAAACCGTCAAAAACAAAGCCCTCATCCACGTAAGAGCACCTTCTATGCTACAATGTGCACCAATAATTGTAGCTTTGTATCTCTCATACGTGTGATATGGGGTGGTGGATCGATAATTTTCGAGTATACGAGTGATAGCACTAGCCCTTACAAAGGGAAATTGTTTTTATTTGATAGTAGTCCTTCCGCTATCAATGGAATATACCGCCGTGGTTGCCGCTGTCGCTGACGAACGGCGGAAGGCTCAGTCGCGGCCTAAGCGCTTTGTGAAGAACCAAATCCCAGATTCGGTACTGAATGATGCGGCTCTCAACGCTGCCATCTCCCTCCTCCCAATCAACTATAACTTCGAGATTCACAAATGTGTTTGGCGCATCCGATGCAGGGAGGCTAAACGTGTCGCTTTGCAGTTCCCGGAGGGTCTCCTCATGTATTCCCTCGTCATCGTCGATATCATCTCCACCTTCACTTCCGTCACGGACTGCTTTGTTCTCGGCGACGTCACCTACGGCGCCTGCTGCGTGGACGACCTATCAGCCCGCGCGCTCTCCGCCGACCTCCTGATTCACTATGGCCACAGCTGCCTCGTTCCCATTGATGTGACCACGATCCCCTGTCTCTACGTCTTCGTTGATATCGCTATCGATGTAAGCAAACTTCTGGACGAATTAAAAAACAATTTCTCTCCGGAGCAGTATGAAAATTTCATTATGGCGGGTACAATCCAGTTCTCTAATGCAATTCGAGCCGTTAAACCGGAGCTTGAAAAGCTAGGGTTTAGGGTTTTGATACCACAATCCAAGCCCCTGTCAGCGGGAGAAGTCCTCGGGTGCACGGCTCCAACTGTCAGTAGGAAGATTTGCAGTCCGGAAACCGCAGTTTTGATCTTCGTTGCGGATGGGAGGTTTCATCTGGAGGCATTTATGATAGCAAATCCAATGATAAAGGCGTACAGGTACGATCCATACATTGGGAAACTGTTTGTTGAGGAGTATGATGAAGAGGGGATGAAGGATGAGAGGAGAAAAGCAATAGAGAAGGCTAAGGGGGCAAGGAATTGGGGAATAGTCTTGGGGACTTTAGGGAGGCAGGGAAACCCCAGGATATTGGATCGGTTGGAGAAGAAGATGGAGGATAAAGGGATGAGTTGGACGGTGATAATGATGTCAGAGATCTCTCCTGCTAGAATAGGTTTGTTTGATGATTCCGTGGAAGCTTGGGTGCAGATAGCCTGCCCCAGGTTGTCCATTGATTGGGGCGATGCCTTTGGGAAGCCGCTTCTGACAGCTTTTGAAGCTGAGATTGCTTTGGGTGATCTTGCTGGGTGGTGGGAGAGAAGAAAGTCTGGTTCCGCACAACTTTGCGCATGCAACAGGAAAGAAGAAGAAGATTATTACCCAATGGATTATTATTCTCAGGATGGCGGGGAGTGGAATTCTTGCTACTCTAAGAACAACACTGCCACAAAAACATCACAAGAAAAGAACACACGCAATCTTTGCAGCTCCCCATCAACTGCTGGTTGCTGTTAAGATCCCCCGGTGGACTTTTTTCGTTTAATTGATGAATTGATTGATGACCGACTATATTTCTGCATTCGATGAAGAGGAAAATGGTTTTTATTTCCCCTCTGCATTTCCTGCTTACCTGCTTATAGAGTGCATTGTTGAAGGCTAGAAGATATCTGGCTGTTTTTTATACAATTAATTAACTAGCAATAAAGTTGATATTAAGCTAGCTGCTTTTTATAATCTTGGTCTTGGACATACGTTCTCATAACCCTGAATCTATAGACTACCATCCCAAGATAATTCTTGGCGTACACATGTTTAAAAAATGTCTTCACAGGCGTGTGTAGTACAAAAAGTTTTTTCAATGAATTTATCTTTTTATTGTTGCTATTAATAGCACTTTTTCCATTATTTTCAATGGCCTCGAAGACTCACTTTTTCCATCATTTTATCCTCATAAAGCAAAAAGGCTCACTAAACTGTTTGTGCTTCTTTATTATGAAGCGGCAGTAAGTTCATGCAATTTTTGACATGATTTTCAGCATGGATTATCCGGAAATAGTTTTTATGTGCTTTAGGTCACGGGTAAAGTTGTGTTCATTCGACCCTTTCTTACCTCACCATAGGTGGGAGCCATTACGGCACTCAGATAATGTTGTTGTTTTCTTGTTGCTATTAATAGCTCTATTTCTATATAACGGAGGGAGGTTGGGGTTGACACCACCCATTGGAGGGAGATTAAATGGTGGCTTCGTAGGTAACCTCATCTAGGAGTTGAGAAAAGCTAAACACACTCAGCCTTCTCTGTTCTGTCACTTGGTTGGTCCCCACATCGAGTATCTCCTTTATTCAAATCCCATCATAGGAAATGAGAGATGTCATGCTTTCATGTGAGTCTTACTGGATTCGTTTTTTAGAGTCAGTATCAAAAACTGAATGTGATATTCGGGTAATTGTCTAGGGGCTTTGAAAGGTTTTGGGCTTAATTGATATTGCTAGTGACATTGACAGATTTTGATGCCGCTCTACTCCTTGAGGCTTAGTTTAGCAATTTATTTAATCAATACTCAGTATCACATCAAGCGATGATGTGTGAATTATAGAGGTCAGGATCAATATGCGGTGAATTTTCAAGATCATTTTGTGCATAGCTAGAGCATACGAGAATAAGCTCAGAGACTTGCGAATTAAATCCATCAACTCATAAAGTGTTTGGAAATTGGAAGTAGGCTCTTGGAAACTTGTTTTGTAAAATAAAAGCTACAATTTGGTAAAACTGTTGTATTGATTTGAGCAAGTAAGAAAAAGAAATCACTACGAGACAAGATTGAGGAAGTCTACCTTATTCAATGAAGTCATATCACCCATGTCCTATAATACGAAGTAATCCCCCCAGATTCGCAACTGGAGCTTCAACAGAGGGGTTGTCCTTTTATTTCTTTTTTGTTGATGATGTTCTTGTTAGCTTGTTGTGTGGACTACTAGACGCTTTTGGGTTGGAATCTACAATCATTGGATTTGAAGGTTTGTTTTACTTTCCCCCCAAAATGTAGCAAGATTTCCATCGCAGAAGACTCACGGGCCCTGGCTAGATGGGATTCGGGTCTGGACTCTGGAGAGTTTGGTCTATTTTCTTTGTAACCGGACTATGCTACATGCTAGGGAGATTGTCGGACCAGGCGGAGATGGGACAGCCTGATGGCATCTGTGCCTGACATGATGAGATGTCCGTCCATGTTTCCCACGCTCCTGGCAAGTGGCAACTACAGAAGGAACCTAGGATTCCTTAGTATTTTGGGTGTTCATATACATTTAAGTTTCATCCAAAAAGTTAAAGTAATCCCCCATCGAGTTAGCATTGCCAACTATACCAGACTTAGAAATGGATGTAGTCAAGCAATAAGAAAGATAGGTTTGCAAATTCACCGCAAACATGCTTTTGTGTGGGGTTGGTTAGGGTGGAGGACTCGGAGGCGGCTTAAATTTACCATATAGCTTCAGCAAGTCATTTAGAGCCTGCCTTACCAACCGGCCTGCCCTAAAAATCTATTTACAACCCAACAAGTAAATTGAGGAGCACAGTTCAAATAGAGAGATAATAAAAATGAATTCTTGCATAGAGAGTATGGAATAGGGTTAAAATACAGCACTAAGGTAGTAGTTTTAATTGGGGAGGGATTCAAAACAAGTTTGCAGACATTTGCAAATACGATGATGAAATAAACAAATTTCACCTTTAACGTTTGTTCTGAAACTTAAACTCACTATCGCAAAGCAAGAGGGGGTAGAGGGTGGCCATTAATCCATAAAATTACCATCAAGAAAACAAAAACCCATGCTAATGATAAGAAATAGTCTCTATTATGCTGCAACAAGGTCAGGAGTTTCAGCCTCCACAGATAACAAAGCAGTGTGTACTTTGCCGACCCAACTGTCCAGACGGTCTCTCAATGACTTGACTTGGGGAATGCCTAGAACCCTTGGTTGCACCCATGAAACATATACGCTTCCCTCAACTTGATCGATTATTCCCTCTATCAAATGCACCTGCCATGCCCCACCATTATACCACTATTACACAACATGTAATACCCTTTTCTATTCTATCTTGTTCTAGTATGTTATAGCTAGTGCTTTGAACATCAGCCAGTATTTTGCCAAAAACCAACTTAATTGACTATATAACATGCTTGCATATAGACTAAGCCTTCGCAGATCCTCTCCGAAACCCTGCATCCTAACAGACCCTTATACTAAAACATGTTCTTAGAATGGTAGAGCATGAACTTACAGAAAGACTCTTCATAAGAAGGTACTCCACATCTTCAACTGTCAACTTCGTGCGCTCCGCAATGATATTCAACGGAATAGTTCTATCCTCAGATGGGCGACTGCAGGGGAACAACATATTTATATGTTCAAATGGTAATAAATACTGGTTCAGAACATTTTACTTTGCACACGCAGGGGGGGTCTATTATCATACCTGAAGATGATTTCCATCAAACAGAGAATGTTGATCTTTTCTGAGAGCTTTTTCTCATTTTGCACCAGTGCAGGTTGAGCATTCAGCGCATCTAGATGGACATTGCACAACGATTGATAGCGAACCAAATCTCCAGCATTGAATGCTTCAAGAATATGATAGAGCCACTCAACCTTTGTCCCTATGAGACTCCTGATCTTTGAAACAAACTTAAAGAATTCAGTTTGAATGAATAGATTTAAATAGTTCTGCCAATTAACAGCACCATGAAAACGTTATTCATCTTATCCATCGAGTAATTCTTCAGAACTCTAAAAAGATTTTATGGTTCTGTCTGGATAGAGGGGTTTGGAAGGGCTTAGACCATATTACAATATACTTGAGTACTTTAAGAATTTATAAATATTACTCCGTCTCTCTAGCAAGCACCCACCGGACCGATGGCAGACGAAATCCAGTGGGTCTGATTTATGTCTAAAATTTATGCAGCAGGTTACTAGTCAATTTTTGTGAATGGAATTAAAAGTGAATGTTTGTTTTGTATGAGAAAAATGAAAAAGAAAAACAAAGAAAGAAAGAAAGAGGAGAAATGCAGAGATGTACGAGGAAGGGTTGGAATATATGGACAAAAAGAAGAGAGAAAGAAAAAATGAAACCGTTGACCGGGTGGCAATGTGATTTATGGCACGTGGCTAGCCACGGGAGATAGTAACGGTATAATTAAACTCAACCAGCTAAAAAGTTGGATTGAATGTTTTTCTATAGTATGAGGGTTTAATTGGTTGATTTAATAGTACAAGGACTCAATTGACTTTTTGAGTATAGTACAGGGACTTATTAGACAGTTTTCCCACTTATTTTATTTTACAAACTATTGAGAGATTGAATTCTTTGAATTAGTTAACGTGGAAAAAATAATGTAAATCATCAGTAGGAGTCCTAGAACTTGGCAAGGAAAGTTTGATACATGATGGATTTATGAATCAATAGTCCTCAGTACAGATGTGCTTGGGAGGGCACGTGAAAACAATAAACAGAACATGCAAAATCAAACTTACAATCGGATGTGCGAGTAACTCTCCAAAATTGTAAATATTTTCTCCCAGTAATGCTGATAGCGAAAGGTCAAATGCCAAGTCCTATGTAACGTAAAGAGAAATTCTTAGCTTAGTAACATATAGCATATGAGCAGTAATAAACTTACTTAATCTGTCATTCAGATCATGTATCTGCAGGAGGATTTGCAGCTTGTATCAAAATTAGTCTACATTTGATAAGAACATAAAGAAGCAGAGCAGTACACAGGCTCACCAAAGAGATCATGATGATTTAAATCTCACTCAAGCAAGAACAAGGCATAAAATTCCCGTATTAAATAAGAGTTATATTAACCATCACACTCAGGTCAATGGTTAAGAATTAAAGCCAACATGATAATTCTTCATTGTCTTCAAACAAATATTGAATTGTTAAGTATTCTCTAATAAAATTTAATGCAATCGCCACAGTTCTGTACACAGAATCATTATTTAGTGTGCGAACTTAAAATTTAATGCAATCACCACAGTTCTGTACACAGAATCATTATTTAGTGTGCAAAAATAATCTAATTATGCTTGCATCTTCCCTTGCAAGCACACAAAAGATTCCTTATAATTAATCTTGGAGGGTTCAATAACAATGTTGGGATTAAAGGTGGATTATGCTTTTCTGTCTTTGGAGTTGAACCAAACTTAACTCACAGAAAAAAATTGAATTTCTAGAAAGTAATTTACAAATAGTAAAATAGTTACTCCAAATATGTTGACAATCCTCTTATCTCTGAATACATGAAACAACATAAAACCATAAAATTACCACCACTTATGTTTGAATAAGGGGATTCAATGGGAGAATTTGACTTTGCACCCCTTGTTTTGGGTGATAATGGACTTTGCACCCCATTTTCAAAATCATTAATTTGACTTTGCACCCCATTTTTTTGGGTGATATTTGACTTTGCACCCCTATTTTCAAAATCACTAATGTATGCACCCCAATTCACTATAAAAATATAAAATCATTTGACTTTGCATCCCACTCCTTCACAATGTTTGGGCTGATGGGGTGCACACATTAATAATTTTGAAAATGGGGTGCAAAGTCTAATATCGCCCAAAAACCTGGGGTGCAAAGTCTTATTCTCCCTAAGGATTTAAAATCATTAATGTGTGCAATCCACCAGCCCGAAAATTGTGAAAGAGCGGGGTGCAAACTCAAATGATTTATAGTGAATTGGGGTGCATACATTAATGATTTTGAAAATAGGGTGCAATGTCAAATATCACCCAAAAAATGAGGGGCAAAGTCAAATCCTCCCTTGAATAATAAGTGTCACTACAAAGATACTTGAGATTAAAAGTTTAATGA